ATTCTTTGTATTTCTGTGGAGTCTGTCGTGATTTTTCCATTCTCATTTCTGATTATGTTGATTTGTGTTGACTCTCTTTTTCTCTTAATAAGTTGGGCTAGAGGCTTATCTATTTTGTTTATTTTCTCAAAGAACCAGCTCTTGGTTTCGTTGATTTTTGCTATTGTTTTATTCTTCTCAATTTTGTTTATTTCTTCTCTGATCTTTATTATGTCCCTCCTTCTGCTGACTTTAGGCCTCATTTGTTCTTCTTTTTCCAGTTTTAATAATTGTGATGTTAGACTATTCATTTGGGATTGTTCTTCCTTCTTCAAGTGTGCCTGGATTGCTATATACTTTCCTCTTAAGACTGCTTTCGCTGCATCCCACAGAAGTTGGGGCTTAGTGTTGTTGTTGTCATTTGTTTCTATATATTCCTTGATCTCTATTTTGATTTGTTCATTGATCCATTGATTATTTAGTAGCATGTTGTTAAGCCTCCATGTGTTTGTGAGCCTTTTTGTTTTCTTTGTAGAATTTATTTCTACTTTCATACCTTTGTGGTCTGAAAAATTGGTTGGTAGAATTTCAATATTGTGGAATTTACTGAGGCTCTTTTTGTGAGCTAGTATGTGGTCTATTCTGGAGAATGTTCCATGTGCACTTGAGAAGAATGTATATCCTGTTGCTTTTGGATGTAAAGTTCTATAGATGTCTATTAGGTCCATCTGTTCTAGTGTGTTGTTCAGTGCCTGTGTGTCTTTACTTATTTTCTGCCCGGTGGATCTATCCTTTGGGGTGAGTGGTGTGTTGAAGTCTCCTACAATGAATGCATTGCAGTCTATTTCCCTCTTTAGTTCTGTTAGTATTTGCTTCACATATGCTGGTGCTCCTGTATTGGGTGCATATATATTTAGAATGGTTATATCCTCTTGTTGGACTAAGCCCTTTATCATTATGTAGTGGCCTTCTTTATCTCTTGTTACTTTCTTTGTTTTGAAGTCTATTTTGTCTGATATTAGTACTGCAACCCCTGCTTTCTTCTCACTGTTGTTTGCCTGAAATATGTTTTTCCATCCCTTGACTTTTAGTCTATGCTTATCTTTGGGTTTAAGGTGAGTTTCTTGTAAGCAGCATATAGATGGGTCTTGCTTTTTTATCCATTCTATTACTCTATGTCTTTTGATTGGTGCATTAAGTCCATTTACATTTAGGGTGACTATTGAAAGATATGTACTTATTGCCATTGCAGGCTTTAGATTCGTGGTTACCAAAGGTTCAAGGTTAGCTTCTTTAGTATCTTACTGCCTAACTTAGCTCGCTTATTGAGCTGTTATATACACTGTCTGGAGAGTCTTTTCTTCTCTCCCTTCTTATTCCTCCTCCTCCATTCTTCATATGTTGTGTGTTTTGTTCTGTGCTCTTTTTAGGGGTGCTCCCATCTAGAGCAGTCCCTGTAGGATGCCCTGTAGAGGTGGTTTGTGGGAAGCAAATTCCCTCAGCTTTTGCTTGTCTGGGAATTGTTTGATCCCACCATCATATTTAAATGATAGTCGTGCTGGATACAGTATCCTTGGTTCAAGGCCCTTCTGTTTCATTGCATTAAGTATATCATGCCATTCTCTTCTGGCCTGTAGGGTTTCTGTTGAGAAGTCTGATGTTAGCCTGATTGGTTTTCCTTTATAGGTGACCTTTTTCTCTCTAGCTGCCTTTAAAACTCTTTCCTTGTCCTTGATCCTTGCCATTTTAATTATTATGTGTCTTGGTGTTGTCCTCCTTGGATCCTTTCTGTTGGGGGTTCTGTATAATTCCATGGTCTGTTCGATTATTTCCTCCCCCAGTTTGGGGAAGTTTTCAGCAATTATTTCTTCAAAGACACTTTCTATCCCTTTTCCTCTTTCTTCCTCTTCTGGTATCCCTATAATACGAATGTTTTTCCTTTTGTATTGGTCACATATTTCTCTTAGTGTTGTTTCATTCCTGGAGATCCTTTTATCTCTCTCTATGTCAGCTTCTATACGTTCCTGTTCTCTGGCTTCTATTCCTTCAATGGCCTCTTGCATCTTATCCATTCTGCTTATAAATCCTTCCAGGGATTGTTTCACTTCTGTGATCTCTTTCCTGACATCTGTGATCTCCTTCCGGACTTCATCCCACTGCTCTTGCATTTTTCTCTGCATCTCATCCCACTGCTCTTGCATTTTTCTCTGCATCTCATCCCATTGCTCTTGCATTTTTTTCTGCATCTCTGTCAGCATGTTCATGATTTTTATTTTGAATTCTTTTTCAGGAGGACTAGTTAGGTCTGTCTCCTTCTCAGGTGTTGTCTCTGTGATCTTTGTCTGCCTGTAGTTTTGCCTTTTCATGGTGATAGAGATAGTTTGCAGAGCTGGTACAAGTGACCGCTGGAAGAGCTTCCCTTCTTGTTGGTTTGTAGCCTTTTCCTGGGAGAATAGCGACCTCTAGTGGCTTGTGCTGGGCAGCTGTGCGCAGACAGGGCTTCTGCTTCCTGCCCAGTTGCTTTGGGGTTTATCTCCGCTGTTGCTGTGGGCTTGGCCTGGCTGGGGCTGTTCCTCCAAAATGGTGGAGCCCCGTTGGAGGGGGAGCAGCCAGGAGACTATTTATCTCCGTAAGGGGCCTCTGTGCTCCCTGCTGCCCAGGGGGTTAGAGTGCCCAGAGATCCCCAGATTCCCTGCTTCTGGTCTAAGTGACCTGTCCTGCCCCTTTAAGATTTCCAAAAAGCACTCTCCAAACCAAAACAACAACAGCAACAATGAGAGAGGGAACAGAAAGGAAAAAAAAAAGAAAAAACACGCGATTTTTTTTTTTTTTTCCCAGGTGCCGGTCCCAGGCACCCGCGCACTGGTCCTGCTGCCCTGTCTCCCTAGCACCAGGGTCCCTGTCCTTTCAAGGCTTCCAAAAAGCACCCACCCACCGGTCCCGCAGGGAAGGAACGCTCAATATTCTTGGTCCTCAGGCACTGGTCCCACGCACCCGCTCACCAGTCCCGCCGCCCTGCCTCCCTAGCACCGGGGTCCCTGTCCCTTCAAGGCTTCCAAAAAGCACTTGGCAAAAAGAGAGAAAAAAAAGGGGAAAAACGCGCGATTTCTTCCGTCCTCAGGTGCTGGTCTCAGGCACCCACCCACCGGTCCCACAGGGAAAAATGCGGGATATTCTTTGTCCTCAGGTGCCGGTCCCAGGCACCCGCTCACCAGTCCCGCCGCCCTGCCTCCCTAGCACCGGGGTCCCTGTCCCTTTTAGGCTTCCAAAAAGCACTCGCAGAAAAGAGAAAAAAAAAAGGGGAAAAACGCGCGATTTCCTCTGTCCTCAAGTGCCGGTCTCAGGCACCCGCCCACCGGTCCCGCAGGGAAAAACGGGGGATATTCTTTGTCCTCAGGCGCCGGTCCCAGCCACCCGCTCACCAGTCCCGCCACCGTGCCTCCCTAGCACTGGGGTCCCCGTCCCTTCAAGGCTTCCAAAAAGCGCTCGCCAAAAAGAGAAAAAAAAAAAAAGGGGAAAAACGCGCGACCTCCTCCGTCCTCAGGCACCGGTCTCAGGCACCCGCCCCCAGGTCTCGCAGGGAGAAACGCGGGATATTCTTTGTCCTCCGGCGCCGTTCCCAGGCACCTCCTCACCGGTCCCGCCACCCTGCCTCCCCAGCAACGGGGGCCCGTCCCTCTAAGGCTTCCAAAAAGCGCTCGCCAAAAAAAAAAAAAGCTCCGGTTTCTCTCCACCCGCCGGGAGCCGGGGGGAGGGGCGCTCGGGTCCCGCCGGGCTGGGGCTTGTATCTTACCCCCTTTGCAAGGCGCTGGGTTCTTGCAGGTGTGGATGTGGTCTGGATGTTGTCCTGTGTCCTGTGGTCTTTATTTTAGGAAGATTTTTCTTTGTTATATTTTCATAGCTCTATGTGTTTTTGGGAGGAGATTTCCACTGCTCACCTTGGTACTATCGGTAGCTGAGATCCCTGACAGTAGCTCCCTGCAATTCCTACACTGACAGATTGCATAGTGGCCTCCCTGACCTACATTTTCCCAGGCCTTCTAGTGGCTATGTAAGACCAATTCCCCATATTAAACCCTTCCCTACAGAAATACCAGTAGTGATTTATGATTTCTTGACCAAACTCTAACTCGTAGAGTAATGACACTGAAAGAGAAAGAAAAAAATAGCTATTTAGAGTAACTTAGTTCAGCAAGTATTTTTCTAAGCAACTGCTATGGCAGTCATTGTACTCAGGTAATGAAAAATATTTATGCTGTTCAAGTAGACTCCATTTGTCCACATGTCCTTCTCACATGATCTGTGTGCCTACTATATCTGTACACTGGACAGCACAAGGTAGGAGTAGAAAAGCAAGAGTTGGCTGTTAAATTTTGTGAAGGGATTATCCATTTAAATAATGATCAAAGTTTTGAGGCATCCTATTTGGGCACAAGCCAAAGCATGATAGATTCTTTAATTTAAAAAATAAAACATTAAAAACCAGCCCTATCTTCTGACAGACTAACTGTCAACATTCTCAGAGCTGCTCTTACTTAGTTTCAGCATACTAAGTCCAAAGGAATTGAGAACCATTAACTTAAGAACATCACACTTTGGGAAGGTCAAATCAAGAAGACCAATGTGTCTGGTAAGTAAGCTATTTTTTCTCTGTTTGGGGTGAACTATAGTCACTGTCCTTCATTCAAGTAGACTGTCACAGGAAGACAACAGAAATTTGCAAACAAATTTATACAAACGAATCTCTGCTGAGAAAATAACTAGAAGCACTTACTTAAGTTACTAATGTTGTGTCACTAAAATCAATTCTGCATTCAGAGGCCAGAATATTTTCCTGCTTCGTTTAAGCATAAAATAAAGACTACATATATGAAAAAGTTTCTGATTTAGTTTCTTTCAAACAAAAAAATACTTTGAACTTTAGTAACAAGGGTCCAAGTTAATAACCAAGAACATTAGACAGAAATTGTACAAAGATTCCCACAGTTCTTAGGTTTCTACATGGCAGCAGTAAAAGTAAATTCAATATTGAGTTTACATTTTATTCAGAGAATTAATACAAAATTAAGAAGGCAAGAAATAAAATTCAAAGCAAATATGTTCAATATTTCAAAACAACTCTACATACAGAGCAAACAGGAAAAAAATCCCAAAATTCCAAAAATCAAATTGCCTTGACACATTCAAGTCTAACAGAAAGAAACTGAAATTTAGTGTAATTTTTGCTTGCCTAGAACTAAAAACCTTTATTGTCTCTGATATTTTTCATCACATTAGGGACATTCTTTGAGGACAAAGCTTTCTAATGAGTCCATTTCACACTGAGCTGGCCATGGTAAAATATCCATGACTGATGGTGCCACACTGGTTTTTCCTAACAACAGTGTCACCCAAAAGGAGCTGTTGGCACAAACAAACTATAGTGAGCATGATACATCTAGATCTTTGCAGCCTAGTGTATGACAATCTAAATTTAATGGATATCAACCTTTGGGTCTCACAAATTGAGAACTTATTGGCTAAGAACCAAAGGATCATTATTTGTTCTTTAGGTATAATGAATCTAGAATTCCCAATGAGTACTTTATATTACATGCATTGAGAATTCTGGCAACTTTCCTGATAAGACCCCACCATGTTTATCTTCATTTCAAAACATACAAAACTGAGTAAGAGGCAAAGATTAACCTCTGAAGACCCTCCAGGGTATGCAACAGCTGTGAATTACATGGTACACCTTATGGTGGCTCTGAGTTTTAGATTGTGGAATGCTTCTAAATCTCTAGTTATACTGCAGAAATTAAAAGCATATGAAAACATGCCAACAGGTTTCATACTAATAGGTGTAAACAGTCCTTTTAATCTTATACAAACATAGGGAATCAGATTCATAAATGAATGGAAATAACTATAATTCTATTTAGAGAACATTTCTCTAATAAACTCCAAGTTTTATCCTATATTTTCAATTATACATTCATACTTGATATTTTTAAATCTCTTGAAATACAAAAAGGAAAATATGGCCACATAATAACATTTTCTGTGAGAAAATACCTGTGTGAATCTTGGATTAAAGTCAGTGAATCCTGTTAATATTAAGTTCAAACATGCGCCTTTTTGTCATAAAATAATCTCTTGTATACATGTTTACCAAAAAGAGAATAATGAATTTATCTTATTACTTGTATCAAGGGTCAGCTGGTCAAATGATCTATAACCTGTCAACTTCTTTGTGCATTATTCCAAGGTTAATTTATAGTTGCAGGATGCTTATTAAGCTAACATAGCTCCTATATCACTTTTTTAATGAGGGAGAACTATTTGCCTTCAGATTAATGAGACAAACTTAAACTTTACTTCTTCCTTTATCCAAAAAAGTTAAGTATTTTTCTTAAGTGCCATTCCAATGAAAAGTGGCCTCCTAGTTTTTTAGGGAAATTATTTCTTGGCCTTTAATAAGCACTCAGTAAATACTTACAGATAACCAATTAGGAAGATATAAAGAAAACTTTACTAGGAATAAAGCTGGATTTTATGTCAAAAATGTGGCCTGTGGAAAAAATGATCCATACTGGTGTGGCAGTGCTTGGCTCTGCCGCAGAGCAACAGAGAGAGAGAGAGAGAGAGAGAGAGAAAACGCACAATGGTAGACTGGGCTCAATTCTACGGGTAGGCAAAACAGCACATCTATTCATTCAAACCACTGGCATAACTGTGTCCTGCTAAGCACAGCCAAGTGCTGTAAGCATTTGGAATAGAGATTCTAGCTTGCTTTTTCAAAAAGGAATCTCTGTTCCATAATTAACAGACTGCCAGATATTACAGAAACTTTAGATTTGGTTATTGCTATCTTGCTACTCACCCATCTTAAATATTCTTCTCTTGCAACTATCAATTCATTTAAGGAAAGCTGTTATCCACTGTACTTGCTGCTGGAAATTTGCTAGAAACAATACATTCTCACAAAAAAGTTTTAAAAACTTAAGAAAGTTTAGTATCTATGGAGGATAACATCAAAAGAAGTAGAGCTTTTGTCTTATGTACTGATCCTTTCTAAAACAATTGGGAGATTGTAGTGAAGACATATGACTTTTGATTATATTTATGCAACCATTTCTTCTTTTTAAAAGCAACAGTAATGAATAAATTTTAAGCATTGGATATGTTTACCAACAGCTAAAGTAAACACTGGCTACATTCTTAGTACAATACAATCTTTAACACAACTACAAACATGTACTATATACTTCAAATATTGGCAAATTGCTTCAAAATGCAATTCTCAGCAAGTTTTTGGTAATTTATTCACAGTTCAAGATTAGAGTTACTGGACTTATAAGATATGAGGAAGAAATGACCAACTGGCTCAGGAAACTAAACATTCATTTTAAAGAAAGAAAACTATAACAAAACAAGGATGATTCTAAAATTCCCAGCTCAATAGAAGTAAAATTTAAACAAATACCAAAAGTTTTATTTAAGAAAAAAAAACCACAGAACATTTAAAAAGTTAACAGGATCATTTCTATATACATTCTGAAAACTAGTGTATTAAAAAAGGTAATTTGATAATTTTCTGTTATCATTAGCCATTATTGATGGTATATTCTATAACACTGATATTAAACTATTAGACCTAAGTTAATATGGCATAACTTTACAGCCTTGCTAGTTAACTATTTTTTTATTTTAACCCATATCCATATTACTGGTTCTAAGCTAATGTTATCAGTCTCACTAGCTTGTTGCCATGCCACAATCTGAAGATAGGGTTAAATTAATCAAGCTAGGGAAATTACGATATATTAACAATCTTTAAATATCATGGGAAAAAGCTGACAAGTGTTAATACTTCTCAATTTGGGACTAAAAACAAAGAAAGTAAACTGAAACACGTTTTCCATTCTTATTTGGTATTTTCGAATACAAAATGTACTAAGTATGTGGACATAAGACTAAAATACCTTTCTCTTCAATTTCTTTGGCCTTCACAAATTCAATGTGAGCTAATTCTTTTTCAATAAACACTTCTCAATGCCATTGTGCTTTTTTAGAAAAACTACAAGTTTTACTATACAATAGTTAATATTAGTCTTTTCCTTTTATTGCTATAGCATATCCTAATTTTTAAAAAAGGGAGAGAAAAAACTGACCGCAAAGGACTTTGTTAAAGCATACATTTCAGCTGGGTTTCCTTCTTTGAAGAGTCAACAGTGTCAAACGAGTATTACCGAAAGCTAAAAAAAAAAAAAAAAAAGGCTCCTTTCCTTCCATCCTTAATTCAGACCAAGAGACTTGTATTCAGGAGGATAAGACAGTATCATTTCAGAAACAACTTTTTAAGAAACTCAAAAGAGAAAATCTGTATTAGCTCCTCATCTGCACACCACCCTGTGTCAGTTCCCCTTGAGCAGTAATGACACTGCATTTTCACCTTTGCATTCAGTGACTGCTGTTCCTCAGAGTACCACAGACACACCCTTAGCCTGTGTAACAGCTTTCCCTACAACATGCACTCCACCTGTTAATGAACATGACACGCCCCAGAATTTGGACCATTATTTAACTGAACAAATCCATTTACAACATTAAACAGCCCAGCTCAGCAACATATTTCCACTCTGACCCTGTGCCTTCCAACCATCCTAGTCTGTCACAGTGATGAGTCCACCTGGGGATAACTAGACTGCTTTAAACAAGATGTATTTTTCAGTTCCTAGCACAGTGACTTGCTCATAACAGGCTGTTGACATTACAACAAAGTAAAAACAGTTAATATTAATTTTCCTCTTATCACTTATTACTATAGCATAGGTAGTTTTCAAAAAGGTAGAAAAGCTGACTCCACAGTAATAATCACTTAATGAGCCATGTGCTGTATGTATATGACTAATGAACTAAAAAAGGGCTAATGGACTGAAGTAGGGAACTCTTAAGTTATATATAAGTGAATTTAAACTTTAAATGTACTATAAGAAATAACTTTTTGTATGAAGGACTCCTTTTGTAGAATATATTCAAAAATTGGATTTTCTTACCCATATCACATTGCCTTTAACTGGGCATGAAAACTTAGCGATTTGCCTCATTTTTGTGTTCATAATTAATTTGTAAAAGCATTTAAAAACCACTACATTAAGTTGGCATTAAGTTGGGTAGAGTCCAAGAAGAAGAGACGAGGAGAAATTATGTTTGCTTGGAAAAGATCACTTCTTTATTCTTAATATGAGCTTTTGATATCCATTGTGGAGCTTATCCTACCTTGAAGCGTGTATTGGTGTGTATGTGGTGTGTTTGAGAGAAAAACAGAGAAACTGAGAAAGCTAATGACTGATTTCACAAATTAGTTTTCACTTACAAAGTGGACTTAAACTTCAGACCATTTAAGAAATGCAACAAAAAATATGCATAAAATGCTAATAAAACAAAAGAAATGACACTGAACATTTCAACATACTGAAACTAGCAGGCCTACACAAAATAATTTTAGAATCAATTAAAATAGATAAATACAGCTGTAAGAGCTACACATATAATATAAATAGTAACCCTATTTTATTTTTAAAAACAATCAGGTTTCTTCTCTCCATCAGTGGGAGCCCTTCCCAATTACCTCTAAATATGCCAATTCTTTCTGTAATCCTAACACACAAACAGAATCTATGTTTCTATTGCATCAACAGCTATCAGAAAACCTTAACCTCATCAAGAAGTTCAAACACAGAAAAAGGAAAAGACTGAGCTTACTTAAATTACGCTAAATATCTTACTTTCACAATTTAAAAGTAAAAACTTTTGAAAAGAAGTTCTCAACCACAACATAAACATACTGTCCTATAACCCTCAAGGTTAGGCCAAAAAAACCCACAAAGAAATTACCACTCACAACTTTATGGGTGTCAAACTAATATTCTACTCTAAATATTTTAATCTAAACTATTAATTTCCATTTCTGACACTAACTGGCTAAAGGTACCGCAGTATCACTTTATTTATTTATATCTCCTTCATTCTTATATATATTTCAGGGCAGAAAACAGGAAATACAGAGAAAAATACCTAGGAAGTAATACTAAATTTGATGCAAATCCTTCACTAGTACAAGTATAAAGCATAGAACATTTTTCTAAGCCTAGCCCACCATATACATTTAGACAAATGATTAGTCAAAAGACTTGTAAATCTTCCAAACAATTTCAAAGAGCTTCCAAGCTGGCATGTAGGTGCTAGTTTTATGCAACAAAGCAGTGATGGGAAGTTAAAACTAATTGCAGGAAATTCTTCCTTGGGACAAAGTTGAAGAGAATTCTGAATATATTAGCATTGCTTTAGTTTGAGACATTTGATAACTCTGTGTGTTGATTTCAAAGAACAAGATAAAATAAGTCATTCAGCAGTCATTTAAAAAAAAAGATAAAATGATACAACATTTACTCTTAAGGAGATAAAAAAAACACAAGGAGCAGGATACCCAACATGTATATATTCCATCTTCAAATTTAAAATCCTATTGTCAGTTGTCCAAAGCTGCTCAGATTTAAAGTCTGTGCTATGAAACTGTGCAAATATTTTCTGTGACGGGCTGAAGAAAACCAATGTACTACTATACTACTTAGCTTCTTAAATTTCCTTGACCTACAGATTACAGGAAACAAGTTGGAGAGACTAAGGTTAACCTAACTTAGAAATCCCACGAGAAATTTTCAGTTTTTAAGTTGTACCATTTGATTTAAAAACAAAACACAAATTTCAAACTAAATCATAGTATCTTCTCTCTATACGTAACTTAGAAAAACATAATTAAATACCCAAGTATCTGCATACACTGCCACTGGCTTTAGATATTCCAATTAAATGCACTACTCTTTCACTGGGCTGAATGAACAGAAGCAAGGTAAAACAAATGCCTGTTATTTTTAAAAAACACACAATCCTCAGATTCAAGTAGAGGGCCCAGAAATCCACCACCCAGAATCCTTTAAAGAAAAGGAAAGCTAAATCTCTTTCTGATACCAATTTCTACAGAGATTCCATTATTCAAACTCCCCTACAAATTACTGGAAAAATGAGGTAATTCCACAAAAATCACAAATTGAGTAGAATAATTATAACTGATATATAAATAAGGATTTACTAAAAAGGCTTGAAGAGGTGATATTTTAAAATGAAGGTTTAAAATATAAAAAGGTGTCTTGTGTTGCTCAATCGCCCAGTTTCAAATGCTCCTTATTCTACAGTTACAGATTTGGCAAGATTCCGGGGGAAATCAACCTGCAAAATAAGAGCAATATTGGAGAGATTATAAAGATTGGGGGGAGGGGAGAATCTGCTATAGGCAAACTATTTTTGTTTCTAAAAACAGAAAAATGTTCATTAACCATCATTATAGAATTACAAAGAATTAAGATTAGAAAATATAATCAAATAATGTATCTTGAAAAAAATTGCAATCAGGAAAAAGACTTCTAAAGGAGTTAGCACAGAAAAACTCCCATGGTCCTGTACAGAAGGGGCAGCCCTCTTGGGGGACACTAGAAATGCATAAGAGCAGGATGTTTGGGCTGTGACAGTGACTACAGGACCTGGCATGCTAGAAGTCCTGCAGTGTGTGCCACAGTCCCCAAACAAAGAATTGCCAATAACTATCCCATTAAGAAACATGGAAAGAAAACAGGTAGAGATTCCCCAAGGAGGTAATCTCCAATTGTGGAGGTAACCTCTAAGGTTCCTTCAAATTCTATAGATAAGAAAATGTTATGACATAATCTATAAATCAGGCAATGTAGATATAACAGGACAGATACATATCTAATGGATTTCTCAGATGCTATTGCTTCAAAAATTTTGAAGGAAAACTATTGTAATGAACCCGGATAAAAACCCAGCCCAGGTTTTCTAAAGTGGTCTATCACTCACATCATAGCCTCTCAGCACAGCAAGGTGGAAAGCCAGCAACTGTAAGGGGATGACGCTGAGAATGCCCTGCAAGCAGTCCACGGAGTGGGGCACCTTGATAGTTCTTTTTGTGTTCTTAATGGTCTCGGTATCTTCCTTATCACAAATCACCACTGGGCGTCCCTGGCAAGAAAATCAATCACTGGTAAGCAAAGGCAACGCTGAGCACATGACAGTGCACATTCTGCAGCACAATTCACATGTGGCCTCAATGCATAACTTACTTAGCAATAAGTCAGAAATGACCTCACTTAGTGGAGGAAATGGAAGCTTTAAGGGATGCAGGAACTTGGTTCAACTCATGCAAGTAAGAAATACCTGTCTCAGTATTTATACCTCCACCAGTGTCCTCACAGAAACCCCTGACTTACCTGCCTAGCAACCACCTGCTGAAGAGCATTCTGACACTTGGTGTAAGTGTGGTCTCTCATGATGATCATGATGACAGGCATTAACTTATCCACCAATGCCAGAGGGCCATGTTTTAATTCACCAGCCAGGATGCCTTCAGAGTGCATGTAAGTGATTTCTTTGATTTTCTAATAGGAAAGAACTAGATTAGTCTTTAGTCTGTTTTTCAAAAACCCATTCTTAAATAAATCTTACACAAAAGCATCTGATGTCTCAATTCACTGCCTATTTATCCAAAAGTATTAAAGGACTTCTGAACTATAAATACAGCTAACAATTTAATAGATGATTATTTCTATAATATCAACAGACAATTTAAACTCTACAGGGCTTTGAAGATTTTAGACAATCACAAACATATTCGTATTTCTTTGTAACTGTTCTCCTACTTGCTTTGTGTTTGGCCTCAATTAAATCTCACACATAGACAGCTAATTTTATTCATATTTGAAAAGATTAATCCAAATTATTTGCTAAACCCAAGTTATCATGCTAAAATGTACTCTTCTTGATCTTCACTTTTGAATTAAGTATTGTTATACTTTCTTAAGGTAAATGAATCAGAAATGCATAAATCTGAAGGCACTTTTAAAAGTTCTACCTACTTCATTCAATCTCGAAGTATAACTATGCCAGGTCTATAAGCCAATAGACTGAAATAAGTGAGAAGACTTACTAGCGCCCCCTCAAGACAAGTAGCATAATGATAGCCACGTCCCATTATCAGGACTGACTTCTGATGATAAAGTTCTGTTGCCAGTTTCTGAATTTCATCATCCATGCTCAGTACTTCCTTAATCAAATCTGTTAAGAGTAAGATTAGCAAAATCTAATGAAATAAGGACAACAAGCTCAATTGATATAATAAACTAAACTGATACAAGAAGTAATATATTGGTAGCAACCAATAAAAGACCAATGTTTCTATTCAGTGGTATCAGTGAAAGATTTTTAAGTACACAGGTATAAAAGCTTAGAAAAATCTTGGCGACTGAAGAGCTACAAGCCACAGCTTCAAGGATAAGAAAAGTATTTCAGCCATTACTTCACTTCCTTAGACAGAAAGTATAATGTGAGTAGCTTCCTACCAGGCAGCCGCTTCAATCCCAGCATGATCTCCTTGCGTCTCTCTTGCATGGAGATCCTGTCATCACACATCATAAGAGCAAACATCACAAGGGATACAAACTGGCTGGTGTAAGCCTGAAATGCCACAAAAAAGCAGAATTACTTGCAGCTGCTTTTTAAAGGACTTAAAATTTTTTATTTTAAAAGATAAAAAGTTCTCATTGGTTTTGTAAGATAAATTGTCTATCTTTAAAAAAAACATTAGGAGGAGAGGATTAAAGATGGCAGCATCAGAGGTGAGACAGAGGCTTCCTCCTAAAACCGCATATAATACAAAAATATAATTAATACAACTAATCCTGAAAGAGCAACAGGAAAGAGGACTGTGCCAGACTACATACACCTGGAGAAAAGAGCAGACCTCATGGAACAGGGTAACATACCAAAGCTGTGGCCCGGCGGGACCCAAGCCCTTTCCCCACCCCAGCTCACCGGCTGGAGAAAGAGAAACAGAGAGGGGAGGGAGTGGAGGACTGGTACTGCTGAACACCCAGCCCTGGAGATCTGCTCTGGGAGCACAAACCTACATTTCATGGTGCTTTCATGATACTCTCGTGATTAGGGGATTGGAAAGCTAAGACAGGCAGAATTCCTAGAGAGACTGAGATTCCAGCCGCTTGTGGAAAGCAGGGATCCATATCCGGCTGCTCTGGGACAAAAGAAAGGTGGGCAGTCTGAGAGACTTCCTAACAAGGAAGCCCTTGGCAAGAGGGCTGCTAAAGGGGCAAAGATTGCACAGAGCTTACTGCTCAGGAGAAAGAACAGGTAGACAAAACTGTCCAAGTGCACTCTACCCAGCAGGTTGGGAGCTTTCACAATTTCCAGGTGCTCCAGCTCCCTGGCTGGCTACACAGCTCCAAGGACCCCCTCCATGATAGGCAGCCTACTGCACCTTTCTCCCGGCCAGCCGCACCCGGCTCGCAAACCGGCAAACCCTACCCTGGTGTTAGGCCAGCCAGAGGGAAGATCTGTCTACAGCAACTACAAATGCAAAGCATAGAGGCTTATACCTGTGTGCTCGGCCACTGATTCAGGCAGTGGAGACAGGCATAGCGGCCGGGAAGCAGAAAACAGCTCCTTCCTTCCCCCAGGCACCAATACCACTCCCCTGTGACCCACGACATTGCTTCAGGGGCTGGGCAGCTCCAGAGAGGTTTCTGGACACTAGACGGTGCCATATACAAATATGAAACACCAAAGGAACCTGTTTCAGAGTAAAATTAGTATAACTCCAGAGAAAGATGACATGGACCTCATGACTCTTCCTGAAAGGGAGTTCGAAATAAAAATCATTTAACATGCTAATGGAGGTAGGGAAAGATATTCAAGAACTCAGAAATGAATTGCGGTCAGAGATCCAATCTTTGAAGAGTGCAATGGAGGGTATTAAAAGCAGATTGGATACAGTGGAGGAGACAATAAATGAAATAGAAACTAGAGAAGAGGAATACAAAGAAGCTGAGGCACAGAGAGAAAAAAGGATCTCTAAGAATGAAAGAATATTGAGAGAACTGTGTGACCAATCCAAGCGGAACAATATTCACATTATAGGGGTACCAGAAGAAGAAGAAGAGAGAGAAAAGAATAGAAAGTGTCTTTGAGGAGGTAGTTGCTGAGGACTTCCCCAATCTGGGGAAGGACATAGTCTCTCAGGCCATGGAGATCCACAGATCTCCCAACAAAAGGGACCCAAGGAAGACAACACCAAGACATACAGTAATTAAAATGGCAAAGATCAAGGATAAGGACAGACTATTAGAAGCAGCGAGAGAGAGATAAAATCACATACAAAGGAAAGCCCATCAGGCTAACATCAGACTTCTCAGCAGAAACCTTACAGGCCAGAATCGAGTGGCATGATGTATTTAATGCAATGAAGCAGAAGGGCCTGGAACCAAGATTACTTTATCCGGCAAGAGTATCATTTAAACTAGAAGGAGGGATTAAACAATTTCCACATAAGCAAAAACAGAGAATTTATCCTCCACAAACCATCTCTACAGTCCATTTTGGAGGGACTGTTATATATGGAAGTGTTCCTAACCTTTAATAGCTGTCACCAGAGGTAATAAAACCACAGTAAAGAAAGCAGAACAGCTAATTACTAAGCAAATGCAAAATTTAATCAACTATCCCTAAAGTCAATAAAGGGATAGACAAAGAGTACAGAATATATTACCTAATATATAAAGAATGGAGGAGGAAGGAAAAGGAGAAAAAGAAAAGAACCTTTAGATTGTGTTTGTAATAGCATATTAAGTGAGTTAAGAAGTTAGACTCTTAGATAGTAAGGAAGTTAACCTTGAACCTTTGGTAACCACAAATCTAAAGCCTGTGATGGCAATAAGTACATGCCTATCGATAATCACCCTAAATGTAAATAGACTGAATGCACCAATCAAAAGACAGAGTCACTGAATGGATAAAAAAAAATAAGTCCCATTCATATGCTGCCTACAAGAGACTCACTTTAAACCCAAAGACATACATAGAATAAAAGTGAAGGGATGGAAAAAGAATTTCATGCAACTAATAGGGAGAAAAAGCAGGAGTTGCAGTACTCATATCAGACAAAATAGACTTCAAAACAAAGAAAGTAACAAGAGGCAAAGGACATTACATAATGATAAAGGGGTCAGTCCAAAAAGAGGCTATAACCATTATAAATATCTATGCTCCCAACACAGGAGCACCTACATACATGAAACAAATACTAAATGAATTAGAAGGGGAAATAGAATGCAATGCATTCATTCTAGGAGACTTCAACACACCACTCACTCCAAAGGACAGATCAATCAGAGAGAAAATAAGTAAGGAGACAGAGGCACTGAACAACACATTAGAACAGATGGACCTAACTGACATCTACAGAACTCTGCACCCAAAAGCAGCAGAATACACATTCTTCTCAAGTGCACATGGAACATTTTCAAGAATAGATCATATACTAGGCCACAGAAAGAGCTTCAGTAAATTCAAAAAGGTTGAAACTGTACCAACCAGTTTCTCAGACACAAAGGTGTGAAACTAGAAATTACGCAAAGAAAATGAAAAATCCCACAAGCACACAGAGGCTTCACAACATGCTCGTAAATAACCAATGGATTAATGACCAAATAAAAACAGAGATCAAGCAACATATGGAGACAAGTGACAACAATAATTCAACACTGCAAAATCTGTGGGACACAGCCAAGGTCGTGCTAAGAGGAAAGTATATTGCAATACAGGCCTACCTCAGGAAAGAAGAACAATCCCATATAAGCAGTCTAAACTCACAATTAATGAAACTAGAAAAAGAAGAAGAAATGAGGCCCAAGGGACCTCAGTAGAACGAGGGACATAATAAAGATTAGGACAAAAATAAATAAAATTGAGAAGAATAAAATAGAAAGAATCAATGAAAGCAAGAGCTGATTCTTTGAGAAAATAAACAAAATAGATAAACCCCTAGCCAGACTTACCAGAAAAAAAGAGAGTCTACACACATAAACAGAATCAGAAATGAGAAAGGAAAGATCACTATGGACACCACAGAAATACAAAGAATTATTAGAGAATACTATGAAAAATTATATGCTAACAAACTGGATAACCTAGAAGAAATGGACAACTTTCTAGAAAAATACAACCTTCCAAGCTGACCAAGGAAGAAACAGAAAATCTGAACAGACCAATTACCAGCAACAAAATTGAACTGGTAATCAAAAAACTACCTAAGAACAAAACTCCTGGACCAGATGGCTTCACCACTGAATTTTATCAAACATTTAGTGAAGACCTAATACCCATTCTTCTTAAAGTTTTCCAAAAAAACAGAAGAGGAGGGAATACCTCCAAACTCATTCTATAAGGCCAGCATCACTCTAATACCAAAACCAGGCAAAGACACCACAAAAAAAGAAAATTACAGACTGATATCCCAGATGAACATAGATGAGAAAATACTCAACAAAACATAGCAAACAGAATTCAAAAATACATCAAAATAATCATCCATCATGATTAGGTAGGATTTATTCCAGGGATGCAAGGATGGTACAACGTTCGAAAATCCCTAAACATCATCTACCACATTAACGTAAAGAAGGACAAAAACGACATGATCATCTCCATAGATGCTGAAAAAGCGTTTGACAAAATTCAACATCCATTCATGATAAAAACTCTCAACAAAATGGGTACAGAGGGCAAGTACCTCAGCATTCTGTATGGCAAAGAACACCATCAGTAGAACAAAAAAGCATCCTACAGTATGGGAGAATATATTTGTAAATGACATCCAACAAGGGGTTAACATCTAAAATATATAAAGAACTCACACGCCTCAACACCCAAAAAGCAAATAAAATGATTAACAAATGGGCAGAGGATATGAAGAGACAGTTCTCCAAAGAAGAAATTCAGATGACCAACAGACACATGAAAAGATGCTCCACATCACTAATCATCAGGGAAATGCAAATTAAAACCACAATGAGATATCACCTCACACCAGTAAGGATGGCCAGCATTGAAAAATCTAAGAAAAACAAATGCTGGCGAGGATGGGGAGAAAGGGGAACCCTTCTACACTGTTGATCGGAATGTAAGCTAGTTTAACCATTGTGGAAAGCAATACAGAGGTTCCTCAAAAAACTAAAAATAGAAATACCATTTGACCCAGGAATCCCACTCCTTGGAATTTACCCAAAGAATACAACTTCTCAGATTCAAAAAGACATATGCACTCCTATGTTTATCGCAGCACTTTTTACAGTAGCCAAGATAAGGAAGCAACCTAAGTGTCCATCAGTAGATGAATGGATAAAGAAGATGTGGTACATATATACAACGGAATATTATTCAGCCATAAGAAAGAAACAAATCCTACCATTTGCAACAACATGGATGGATCTGGAGGACATTATGCTCAGTGAAATAAGCCAGGCGGATAAAGACAAATGTCAAATGATCTCCCTCATTTTTGGAGTGTTAACAATGAAGCAGAACTGAAGGAACAAAATGGCAGCAGACTAAGAGACTCCAAGAATGAATTAGTGGTTAACAAAGGGGAGAAGTGTGGGAGGGCA